GAGAATTTCAAGCAGACTCCCTGCTAAGTGGGGAGCCTGACATGGAACTTACTCCAAAATGAAATCAAGAGTTGAACACTCAACTGACTGAACCACCCAGGCACCCCCCTCCATATGGATTTCATTGATGGATTTTTTTATGTCTGCAAGAAACGTAATTGGGATTTTGATAGAGCTTGCATTGAGTCTGTAGATCACTTTGCATAGTATTGACAACCATAGTTAGTCTTCCAGTCCTTTAACACAGGATATCTTCTCATTCATAGAGGTCATCTTTAATTTCTTTCAGCATGTTTTATAGTTTAAAAAAAAGATATTATTTATTTGTTTGAGAGAGAGAGCACGTGCGTTAGTGAAAGAGAGCACAGGTGGGGAGGACAGGGTGAGGCAGGGTCCCCATTGAGTAGAGAGCCTGACACGGTCTCTCTCTCTCTCTGTCAAATGAATAAATAAAATCTTAAAGAGAAATCTAAAGGAAAAAGGATGCTTGAAAAATAACTGCTTGCATCCCTATCCCTACTTTTTTTGTTTTATTTTTTAAAGATTTTATTTATTTATTTGTCAGAAAGAGAGAGACCCAGCACAAGTTCAGGTCAGGGGGAGTGTCAGGCAGAGGTAGAAGCAGGGTCCCTGCTGAGCAAGGATCCTGATGTGGGACTCAGTCTCAGGACTCTGGGGTCACAACCCAAGCCAAAGGCAAACTCTTAACTGAGTGAGCCACCCAGGTTTCCCCCCTACCCCTACATTTAACAGTTCAGAGGGAAATGGGCTTTTTGTTTTGTTTTGACTTTTGGTTCTACCCTTCCTTTTTGAGACCTCTATTTTATTTTTATTATTTTTTTAAAGATTTATTTATTTATTTATTCGAGAGAGTGGAGGAGGTGCACACAGAGGGAGAGGGTGAGAGAGAAGCTGAAGGGAACCCAATGTGGGCCTCAATCCCAGGGCTCTGGTATCATGACCTGAGCTGAAGGCAGACTATTTATTTATTTATTTATTTGTCAGAGAGAGAGAGAGAGAGAGAGCACGCACGCATGTGCACAAGCAAAGGGAGAAGCAGGCACCCTGCTGAGCAAGGAGCCCGATGCGGGGATTCAATCCCAGGACTCTGGGATCATGCCCCGAGGGGAAGGCAGACACCCAACTGACTGAGCCACCCAAGTGTCCCTGAAGGCAGACTCTTAACCGACTGAGCCACCCAGGCACACCTCTACATCTCTACTTTTAAGGAGGTGGAAACATTTAAATCAGTAATAAAGATTTTTACTAGTTTCTTCCATTCAGATTAAAGCACAACTTGACACGGTGCAGTCAATGAACTTTTTTACCAGAGTTCTGATCTGGTAGGTTGACAGATTTCACTTGGGAGAAAGACATCCTACAGTTCAGTTTTAACAAGCAGCAATATTGGAGTTTTTGTTTGTTTTGTTCTGTTTTGTTTCTTAAACACTGATTCAGAAAATGGGATGGTGCAAATGTATAATTTATAACTTGGTAAATTACTGTATATGGGTGTCCTCATAGCTACCCACCCAAATCAAGAAATAGAACTTTTCTCAGCATTCCAGAAGTCTTCGTTGCTCTGACATACTGCTTCCCTCTCCCTGAAAGTAACCGCTATCCTTTCATAGTAATCCTTTCTTTGTGTTCCTTTGTAGTTTTTAGTCTTGTTGTTTTGAAAAATACGCCTTTTGAGTGTCTTCTAACCTGTAAGTTCTCTCTCTCTTTCTTTCTCTCTCTCTCTAGATTTTTTAACTGTTGAGGAATCTGGGCCATTTGACCTGTTGATTTACTCTTCATTGTGGATTTTGCCATATGTGTAGTTACGATGCAGCTCTAGTCTCCGAGCTCTGTATATCCTGTAAATTGCCGGCTACATCCAGAGGTTTGATGAGTCAGAAGTTTGATCCTGTCATTGTTCTTTTGTCAGGATGCACATAATATTTGGTTGGTTGTTCTCATGATCCATTGTGAAACAAATTACCTTAGAACTTAGTGACTTAAAAATTGTTTCAGGAGCACCCAACTGTATCAGTCAGTAGAGCACGCAACTCTTGATCTCAGGGTTGTGAGCTCAAGCCCCACATTGGGTGTAAAACCTAATTAAAAAAAAAAAAATCATTTCATTGTATCTCACAATTTTGTAGGTCATAGATTCGAGTGGGCCTCTGTGGCTGATAGTTCTGCTCCATGAAGTTTGGTGGGTGGGCTGGTGTGGAGATTCTAAGATGGCTTCATTTACATGCCTGACACCGATAGACATGGCTGGAAGGCTGGACTTACTTGGACCCCTCTTGCTTTCCATGTAGTCTTAGGTTTCTTTACATTGTCTCTCCAAAGAAAAATCGGAGTTCTTAAATAGTAACTGTCCAAGAATTTGTGGACATGTATTAAGACCAATAAATATTTGAGGGAGACACTTTGATATATCCTGTTTCTTTTTAAAGTTCACCCACTCACTTTATCCCCATCCATGAATATCGCCTGTAGCAGTTATTACTGTGGTGCTGAAATAGTAATTGTCTATTTTTCTCATTTCTTCTTACCTTTATTAATTAAGCATTCTTCTGTAAAAATGACGTCTTACATCTTACAAATAACTTCGCAGTTAGTTATTTGATCATTGTTCACATCAGTCTGGACTTGTGGGCATTTGCTTTATTTTTGAGTTTGTAATCCAGTACTATCGTACAGTCCATTTTCTTACACCAGGTTTTTTATCTTCGTCCATTGAGCTCTTTCAGGTTGCCTTCTATTCCTTTGGGCTTTAGACTGTTTTTTGTTGTTGTTTTAGATACTGCCGTTGCTTAATGTTATCATGTCCAGTTTATTTAGATGGATGTCTAGTATCTCTATATTTTTCTGGTAGACTACTTTTTTAAAAATGCGTTTTCTGGCCTGCTTGCGTTGTAGAGATATTATTCGGTTCATTATTTTCTTTTTCCTCCTATATCTGTATATAGCATTTGGCCTCATTTGCTTATTTTTGTGTGAAATTAGTCTTTTTTGAACTTTAGGAGGCATGGCTAAGAGTAGTATATTCATCTCAAAGAACTTCCTTTTCTGTTGTCTGATAGTATTTACAAATGTGGTTTGATTTCTAAGATTTCCTGGTTTTGTTACGTTCTTCTTTTCTTCCTTTGTCTCTGTTTTACTTATCCTGTATAATATTGATTCTCTTGACAGCATTTTATCCTCAGTTTGGAGTCCTGTCCTTCCACTTCAAGAATTTATAGAAGCTAGACTATACCATCTCCTTAGATTTTATGTAGGCCTCTTCCACTCACCTCTTCTACTCACCTGCTTTCAGATCTGACAACACCTTTTCTATTTTCAGTCCTGAAATTGTCTCTGTGTTCTTCCCATTGAATGCTTTTTGGCTCTTTAGGTGTTCCTCTGCCCTTACATCCATTAGATACCTTGTTGTTTTCCTCTGCTTCTGCTTTTACTGAAGCTAAAACTACACAGGTCTTACAGATGTCACTGGTTTTTTCCCAATCACTTATATTTTGGGGTTCTTAGACATAACTAGATAATACCTGGTTTTGTTGTAAATGCCCATAGTGCTTTAGTTTTGCTCTTTGCTGTGTTTTTATGAGGGCATTTATGGAGATTCCAAGGTTTCATAGAATCTTTTGCTATTATATTTTTTTAAATAGCAGTTAGAGGGGTGCCTGGCTGGCTCAGTTGGTAGAACATGTGACTTGTGATCTCAGGTCATGAGTTCAACCCCACGTTGGGTATAAAGCTTACTTAAAAACAAAAACAAAAAAACTAGATCATAAAATACCAATTTGCACAAAATACATTTTGATGGCATATTAAACTACAGGTGTGCTTGAGTTACTAAATAGCTAAAAACTAATGTGGCTGGAGGATTTTTTTGTGTGACATAATGTTTTAGGTTATTTTCCACCATCTTATCTGATTGAAAGCTAAGTTTTATGTTAATAAACCTCTAATAACCTTCAGGGTCTTTGTTTTCAGTTTACTTTGGGAACTTGTACAGGCCATTTATTCTGCCTGTTTCTCTTTATTGACTCCTGTTTATCTGTGGAAAGATCCCTAATCATTTTGTATTACTCGTGAAGTGCTCTAGCTTCATAAGAAATTGACTGGGTAACTCTTCGTGATCTCCTACTATTGCCTCTGCTCCTGAATTGAGATTGAAATTTTTTTTTTCATTTCATTATTGCCAACCTATTTTAGCCTGTTCCAAGAAGAGGCAGTTTGGTAGAATTGGATTAAAATTAATCAGTTTTAATTTGTTGCCTACTGTGTACTGCACAACTTTGTTCCCAAACTTATCTTTCAAAATAGAACTTTTTTGTAACTGTGACTAGCTGTTAGAGACCAAATCCTATGCTTTCATTCCATTATTATTTCCAGAGATACATTTATTTTCTCCTGTGAAAATGATTTTAGTATTATGTATATAAAGCACTTTGCCAGACAAATACATTAGAAAATGATAGAAGTATATGAAATATTCATTTGGGGTGAGATGGTTTTTCTGCTAAAAGGAACTGAAGATTGAAATGTAGGCCTACTGAGACCTATTTATAGATACATTAAAATGGTTCTCAGATTCAATTCTTAAAGTGAACAAAATCTTATTTATTTTAAGTGGAAAAGAATATCCAACCTATAGATGGGGTTGGAAGTTACACAGTGACGTTTTAGTTTTAGTAGGAGCTTTTGGGACTTTTTCCTTCATATTCTCCACGCCATACAGTTAATGATTCTAATCAGCAAGATTAGATCTGTTGATCTGATTGATAACTTGCAGGTCTTCCTAGAATGAGTCAGAAGGATTCAGTAATACTTTTGTTGAACAGGGCCTTTAAATATATAGTTTGAGGTATTGGCTAAATTAGTGGGTAATTTAGCTTGTCAGGTTTTTAACTTTGGTCTACATATGTCTTTATATATGTTGAGGTGTAACATTAAAATTACTTAGTACAATAGTCTTTAAGACATTTTGTCTGGTTTTCTTTTAGGTTCATGCATGGGAGATTTCAGACCAGTTGTTACAGATCCGACAGGATGTGGAATCATGCTACTTTGCTGCACAGACCATGAAAATGAAGATTCAAACCTCATTTTATGAGCTCCCCACAGACTCTCATGCCTCTTTACGGGACTCATTACTAACCCATATCCAGAACTTGAAAGACTTGTCACCTGTCATTGTAACGCAGGTAAATCCTGTGCTTCTCATCAGGAAAGTTTATAAGGCCATTTGGATTTGTGAAATTAATTTTGATTGACATTGCTAGGTTATGTGAAGTATTGTTAACAACTTTATTATGGACTTACTGCTATATTCTTAAGTGGATAGAAAGTGAAAATCTTCTGTGATAATATTAGAGTTTATTTGATTTCAGACCAATTTAAATACCAGAAGTGGGGGAGGTGAGTATAGATTTTCACAGGCAGGCATATGTGTCCCCCCCCCATTAAAATTGCAGGTGGTAAAAACACTGTATACTGTACTGTTCTGGGTCAGATGTCTGCCTTCTTGCCTTTAAAAAAATCATTTCTGGACCAGTTGGCTAGTTAAAGTCTCATGAATGAAATAGTGCAGCATCTGGCCTTTCCCCCTTTAGACTGGTAAATACATTAAAAAGGAAAACTGGAGGCTTCCTTGAATACATACTCAATGTGTGTTCTCTGCCTGGCATAGAAGTGCCCTTGAAGAGGAAGGAGGCTTTTGCATAAGGCTTCAAGATGAGAAATGGAAAGAGAAGGGAAATGGCATTCCATTACTTGAGGAGTGAATCAAAGGGCTGACTTTGTCAGTAGCTTTGGCCTTTTGGCAAAGTGTAATTTATCTGTCCATGAAGTTCTGTGGTATTGCCAAATAAAAGTAAGTATTGATATATTCTGAGGAAGATCTATAGTCTGTTCTTTCTGATTTCTTTTTGTTGTTTTTGGTTTTGTTTTTCATTTTTAGAGGTTAACTTAAATACTAACAATTTGTAGCTAGCCCAGAAGAGTTTACATTCTATATGTAATTGTGGAGGTGAGGAGAGGTAGGGTGGTTGTCAGTCTTTGTTGTCATATTGTTTGGATAAAGTTCAGTTTCTTTGCTTTCCGGTTAATATTGATGGTGACCCTATTCATGCGTTCTATTCATTTATTTAATCTCTCTTCTTATTCAGCTGGCTTTAGCAATAGCAGACCTTGCCCTACAGATGCCTTCCTGGAAGGGGTGTGTACAAACATTGGTGGAAAAGTAAGTAACTTGTATTAATTATATTCTAGCATTTGGAATTGCTGTTAACCTACAAAGAGAAATTTGTTAGCATTAGCTAGATATTTGGAATATTTCCCCAAACTCTTAACGAAGAATTATTTATTATTAACTTTTGTTAGATAAAAAGAAAATAATTGAAAATTTAAATATTACAGAAGTGTGTTTTGTGGAACATAAAAGACTCTCATAATTTATACACACGTTTTTTGAATTAACTCCAGCAAAGTCTTTCATTGTCTTGTGGATCACTCCCACTAACTGATATGTCAGCAGTTCTATAAAAACATTATCAGAATGGGGCACCTGGGTGGCTCAGTGGGTTAAAGCCTCTGCCTTCAGCTCGGGTCATGATCCCGGGGTCTTGGGATCGAGCCCCACGTCGGGCTCTCTGCTCTGCAGGGAGCCTGCTTCCTCCTCTCTCTGCCTGCCTCTCTGCCTACTTGTGATCTCTGTCTGTCAAATAAATAAATAAAATCTTTAAAAACAAAAAATAAAAAACAAAACATTGTCAGAATGTGTAAGATTATATTAAATTAGAAGTCATTATGAGTAAAAGTTCTTACTAATTGGGATTTGTTTCATATCTGTCAAAGGGACAATATGATTTTTAGATACACAGAGCCTGCTACTTTGAATAAAAGCATTTCCTCATGGTCTTGGCCAGATAATCTTGATATTTGCTTGCATTTTGGCATTTGGTTAGGATATTATTTTTTAACAAAGTGGATGTCCTTTTTACCTCCAACTATAATGTGTTATTAAAGCCTTTATATGGATAGTTTCATGTTTTTTTTAGAAAATTTTCATTAAGAAAATTAACACATGTTCCTTGAAAAAATTCTAATAGTGTGGAAGCTTTCAAAGTAAAAGCCTTTTTCTCTTCGTATTTCTGTATTTCATTAGGTAACCACTATTAATGGTTAACTCTGTAGTCCTCCAGACTTTAAGCATTTTAAAATAAATTAGTGCATATATATTTTAATATACCTATGTATTTGTTCACTCATATGTAACATATTTCATGCACTTTTTGTACTTAGTACATTGTGGACATCTTATGTTAGGGCATAGATGCTTCTTTCACTATAATGGCTATGTATGTTCCATTGTATAACTGTTTGTAACCTTTTGTATCCTAATTATGGAAGACCTTTTATTTTCCAGTGTTTTTGATACTATAAAAAAGTATTGCAGTTCTTATTTTTGTATACTTTGCATGTGTATGTGAGATTTTTCTGAGAGAGAAATTTCTGTAAGTGGAGTTGCTGGGTCACAGAAGATGCAAGTTGAAATTTTGATTTCCAGATACCTTTCCAAAAAGTTTTGTTTTTGTAGTGAGAATGCTGCTTTTGTTGTTATAGGTTATTCTGAAGCTTGTTGTTACCTTATGTGATTGTGTATTTTCTGATTCTAAATAACTTCCATCTCTCCCTTTCCTTTTCCAGATACAGCAATGATGTAACTTCTCTGCCTTTTCTACTGGAGATCCTTACAGTGTTACCTGAAGAAGTACATAGTCGTTCCTTACGAATTGGGGCTAACCGGCGCACAGAAATTATAGAAGATTTGGCCTTCTACTCTAGTACAGTGGTATCTCTATTGGTGAGTAAGTATGAAATTACTAAGTTGCTCTGTAGGGGCAAAAAGCCATGGTGGTTATTTTCTAATTCAATTGCATTATTGTGAAATACAGATTTCTTTGCAAAAATTGGCAATGATAATACTGTGACATTTGTAGAACACTACAATTAAATACTTTTCAGATTCAGAAACTGTACTTTTTTTTTAAAGATTTTATTTATTTATGAGAGAGAGAGTGAGAGAGAGCGCACAAGCAGGCAGAGAGGCAGGCAGAGGCCGAGAGAGAAGCAGGCTTCCCACCGAGCAAGGAGCCTGATGCAGGACTTGATCCCATGACCTTGGGATCATGACCTGAGCCAAAGGCAGCGGCCCAACCAACTGAGCCACCCAGGCGCCCAAGAAACTGTACTTTTTGAGCTTGTAAGTAACACTGTGAGGGTGATGTTATTTCCATTTTATGAATTAGATATATAGGCTTTAGACATATACAACTGCTAATTCAGAATTTAAATTCAGGCTTTCTGATTACACTTCCTTGCTTTTCTACTACTTCATGCTACAAACTGTTGGCTCTTGACAAAGGACCATGCTAATGTGTAAATTTACTTAAGGAAAGGATCCTCTCTTAAGGATCAGTTGAGATTTTGATAAGTGGTTCAGGTCTTTAGTTGACCTTTGAGCAATACCACAATTATAAATGAGATAATACTACACCATTTTTTTAAAAAAGAGTTAAATGTGGGGCACCTGGGTGGCTCAGTGGATTAAAGCCTCTGCCTTCAGCTCAGGTCATGATCCCAGGGTCCTGGGATCGAGTCCCGTATCAGGCTTTCTTCTCAGCAGGGAGCCTGCTTCCTCCTCTCTCTCTGCCTGCCTCTCTGCCTACTTGTGATCTCTGTCTGTCAAATAAATAAATAAAAACTTAAAAATTAAATTAAAAATAAAAATAAAAAGTTAAATGTGATTAGGTCCTTTTTGACTAGGTAGACATTTTAATGCTATAGACAAGTGATGGGTAAATTTATAGTCTATGAGCTAGTCACGTATTTCTGTAAATAGAGTTTTACTGGAACATAGTCATGTTCATACATACATTATATATTGTGTACGTCTGTAATTTTGAGCTGAAGTAGCAGAGTTGAATAATTTTCACAGAGACCACATATAGTCTATAAAATTTAAAGTGTTTATTCTTTGGCCCTTTAAAGAAAATATTTGCTACTTCTTGAACTTGATTGTATTAAATTATCTAGCCCACATCTCATTTTAGGTCTTTATAGCCCAGGTCACTTTTTTCAGTAATGTGGTTATAGATTATTTCTCAGGGATTTGCTTCAGTACTTTTGCAACATCATAGAACTTTTTATTTGAAAAGACATTTTTTACTTAAAACTGTGTTCAGATTGGTGTTAGAAATTCACTGGAAAATTATTTATTTATTTATTTAAAGATTTTATTTATTTATTTGACAGGCAGAGATCACAAGTAGGCAGAGAGGCCGGCAGAGAGAGAGGGGGAAGCAGGCTCTCCACTGAGCAGAGAGCCCCATGTGGGGCTCGATCCCAGGACCCTGGGATCATGACCTGAGCCCAAGGCAGAGGCTTTAACCCACTGAGCCACCCAGGCGCCCCGAAAATTATTCTTTTAAATGCGTCTTTCAACTTACCATTTATTTTAAAGAAATAGTATTATTGAGAATTAGAAAATACAGAGTATATTCAAACCATTTGGAGATCACACTATTAACCTTTTAGTACATATCCTCTATGAACATACGACAAATTTTTTATTTTTATTTTTTATTTTTATTTATTTTTTTAAAAAAAGATTTTATTTATTTGGCAGAGAGAGAGAGAGAGATCACAAGTAGGCAGAGCAGCAGGCAGAGAGAGAGGGGGAAGCAGGCTCCTTGCTGAGCAGAGAGCCCGATGCATGGCTCGATCCCAGGACCCTGAGATCATGACCTGAGCCAAGGGCAGAGGCCCAACCCACTGAGCCACCCAGGTGCCCCGACAAATTTTTTAAATACAAATGAGATTATATTTTACCTATCCTCCTGAAGTTTCTTTTTCAGTCATCCAGCTTCATCCTTTCATTTCAGTAAATTTTTATATCCTCTAATAAGTACCCAGATCATCTTCACATTTCCCAAGTTCATCCTAAAATATCCTTTTTTTTTTTTTTTAAGATTTTTATTTATTTATTTGACAGACAGAGATCACAAGTAGGCAGAGAGGCCGGCAGAGAGAGAGGGAGGAAAGCAGGCTCCCCGCTGAGCAGAGAACCCGATATGGGGCTCGATCCCAGGACCCTGAGATCATGACCTGAGCCGAAGGCAGAGGCTTAACCCACTGAGCCACCCAGGTGCCCCATCCTAAAATATCCTTAACAGCATTTTTCCAAATCAGTATTCATTCTAGCACCATGCCTTATATCAGTTTATTATGATTCCTAATCACAGCTCCTCTCCCACCTCTTTTCAAAACAACACTGTTTTGAGTTGAGATTGGACCAATTATTTTATAGACTGTCTTGCCTTTTGGATTTTCTGGTTGCCTTGTCTTTGTTTCATTTAGTTTGTTTTTCTGTTCTCTGTATTTCCTTTAATTGGAAGTTGTATCCAAAACAGCTCTTCCCAGTAGGAATTCCTCTAGAGAATTAAGCCTTAATACCCTAAGGCATCCATGGTGTGAACAGATACTCTCCTATATTTAATAATGGTACGAGTATACTATCTTTAAGATGATGGAGAAAACAGTCACCCAAATCCTTTTCTTTTTTTTTAAATTTAATTTACTTATTTGACAGAGATCACAAGTAGGCAGAGAGGCAGGGAGAGAAAGAGAGAGAGAGAGGAGGAAGCAGGCTCCCCACCGAGCTGAGAGCCCAATGTGGGACTTGATCCCAGGACCCTGGCTGGGATCATGACCTGAGCCAAAGGCAGAGGCTTAACCCACTCAGCCATCCAGGCACCTCCAAATCATTTTCTATAAGACTTTATTCCTTCTAGAATCCTGGTTGAGAAAGAAAGTCTTAATGATCGATTTTAAAAGGTTAAAGATTTTAAAAATTTTATTTATTAATTTTTAAGGGGGTGGTGCGGAGAGGGAGAGACTCTTAAAGCAGGCTCCATGTCCAGCGCAGAATCTGACATTAGGCTTGATCTTAGAACCCTGAAATTATGACCTGAGCCAAAATCAGGAGTCGGACACTTAATCAACTGAGCCACTCAGATGCCCCAAAAGGTTAAACATTTTTTACTGGAATACATTATAGATATCTCACGTGGCATCCTGTCAGAAGAGAAAATACTTTTGGGTGACCTTCCATTAGTGATGTTAGGGTTAACTAGATTAGGATGATGACGGTCTGGTTCTTCCATTTATAAAGTTTGTTTTCCTTCTTACAATGCAATTTGTATGATGATAGTTTGTAGAATAACAGTGTTCAATTCCATATCAACTTTTGCCTAAGGATTTTATTTTTATTTTTATTTTTTTAAAAGATTTTATTTATTTATTTGACAGAGATCACAAGTAGGCAGAGAGGCAGGCAGAGAGAGAAAGGGAGGCAGGCTCCCCACTGAGCAGAGAGCCCAATGCGGGGCTAGATCCCAGGACCCTAGGATCATGACCTGAGCCGAAGGCAGAGGCTTTAACCCACTGAGCCACCCAGGTGCCCCTGTCTAAGGATTTTAAATTCTAGTTGGTAATCATTGTCTTAATAATTTCATTATGGTTTACAAAATAATATTTTAATAATTTTGTCATTTTTTCTGTGTATGTATTAGTCGGCATTCTTGTGAGTAGTCTGGCATTCTTCCACTAGAAAGGCACTATAAATCTTAAATTCTTTTTTAATTTCCTGTTTGCAAAATAAGGTTTTGATTTAAACCTGCCTCAAGTGTCACTGTTTTTTTCTGACATCTCTTTATGGAGTGTTAGGACTCAGGGATTTTCATTGATTTAGGGTCTCAAGTAAAATCATTCTTTTGATGCTTAAAATATTATAACTTTGGCCACTAGAGCATTTCTCTCCTTCCTAACAAAAAAATTACTAATACTCACCTTGGTACCTCCTTGCCCCAGATCTATAATCCTTGGTTTCTTTTAGTATCAGTCTGGATCTAGTCAGAAGTGAGAAACCACACAGTAGCATGTAGGAGTGTTTAATATAAAGAGTGATTAATTCTAACAGGAGGTTACAGTGATGAGGGATTGTCTAGTAAGAAGGAAAGAGAGCTCTAAAGAATATAGGCATAAAACAGATAGAAGGAGCAGACATTAACCCCAAGGCTGAGATAGGGTTCCCAAGAGAGGAGGAGGTTACCCCCTCCCAGGGCTGAGATCCAGACCCTATTTAGAGAAGGCACAGTATTGTGGAGAAGTCATTTTGGCACTCTGTGCTGCTGAAAATTAGTCTTTTTGAACTTGCTGGAAATCTGTCTTCTAAGAAGCCCAGAAAGCTATTCAGGGAAGGTGTCTCTTTGCCACGAAATCACCTTGGTGTGGCAGTACCAGAGGAAGCCACTGGCCACTATGTACTGCAGACACTGGAGAAACTGAGCACACTGAATCCGGTGCTGGAGAAATAATTCTTTAGGAGCCAGAAGCACTTTGCTATAAATCCATTGGAGAGAGTGGGGGAAATGCCAGGGAAGCTGGTGGCCAGTGCCTTGCAGGAGGCAGGCACCAGAGGAAATACGAGTCTGGGGCTAGAGGAGCTGCACGTTCTGTAGAAGGCTACCAAGTGAGCACGCTAACCACTGGGAAGCAGAACTCCTTTCCTCTTGTTTCTCTCCTGTGGCCTTCTGACAAAAAGTCAGTGCTGCTTGGCATAGGAAAAAATTAATTTAAAGGGCCATTTTTACAGAGTAATCTAAAAGGGTGAATTTGGTGCTGGGACACAATATATCTATAGCCAGCCTTAGTCTTCCTGTTCGACTAGCTTAGCTTTCTGTTTGGTTAACTCTTTTACATACATTTAAACTCGTGTGCAGGGGCCCCTGGGTGGATCAGTTG